GCGGGCGGCTGGGGGGGCCCGAGCCCGGGCCAGGCCCTTTATAGCCCCGGCCCCCGTGTCGTCAGCGGCCGCGATTGGCTGCGGAGCCAACAAAAGAGGCAGCGCTGTCATCCGAGGCGAGAGAGGGAGCCGGAGAGAGCCGAGGAAAAGAGAGAGAGGGAGGGAGCGAGGGCCTAGAGAGAGATGGAGACACAGAGATATTGAAGTGGGGAAGAGGAGGGAAGAGAGAGAAAGAGTCAGAGAGACCAAGGAGAGACCGAGAGATAAAGAGGGAAGAGACAGAGACAGGAAGAGCAGGAGGAAGAGGGTAGAAAGACAAAGGGGGAGGGGGGAGATGTGGGAATTGTCAGAGAGGATAAGACAGAGAGAGGAGAGACTTAGCTAGAGGAACAGAGACGGAGAAGGAGAGAGACAGGCACAACTAGTGGGGGAGTTAGAGTGGGAAGAGTCAGAGACAAAGATAGGGGAGAGACAACAGCGGGAGGAGAGAGGTACGGCTAGACAAGCAGAGAGATGGAGGTCGACAGAGCTAGACCACCACTGAGAGGCCAGGCATGCAGAGATGGGAGCAGGGACAGAGAGACTGATGAGACAGAGATCAGAACCCTGGGGAAAAAAGAAGGGAAGGTGAGAGAGGGGCAGAGACTGGGAGAGATTTCAAGGGCGCCTTTGAGGAGGTGGGCACAGAGGATCAGTGGAAAGCAGAGATGAGAAGACTAACTCTTGAGGGAAGGAGAGACAGCACAGTGACAAGAGTCAGCCTTAGTAGGATTACAGAGAGCCTGAGAAGAGATGGAGAGAATTTAAGTCCAGAGGAGCCCTAACTATTGGAGGTAGCCCAAGGAAGATGTTTAAAGAGGCCACGGAGGGGACCTTCAGGCTGGGCTCATCAGGGGATCAGGAGGACCAGGAAAGAACAAGATGGAAGGACTGGACATGGGAGTTAGCCAGAGAAACTAGGAGTGGAAAAGGCCAGGGACAATCTGAGAAGGTGGAGAGGTGGTTGGGAAGCCCCGAGATGAGGGAAGATTTAGAGCTGAAAAGAGTTTGTGAGCTTGAAATTAAGGCTTGAAAGGGATAAGGTAGTCAGCAGGCTGGAAAAGGCAGGAACTGGAGGCCACTGAGAGAGGAATGGGAGGAAGCAGAGATGAAGACCACTATGCTTGCAGAGGAATCTAGATCTCTGGATTCTTAGCTATCCTTTTGAATCTGTAGGGTCTTAGAAGTCTGAGGAGAGCCTAGTAGTTTTAGGGGAGTGGATGAGAGAGAGCTCAGCCATCAGATGCCTGAGTTGAAGACAGCAAGTTGCAAGAAGAGAAACCCAAATATGAGACTAACCCTAGTCTTCAGGTGTGACCCTGGGTACAACCAGAGGGCAGAGTAGAAGAGTGCCAAGGTAGGAAAATGCTCCTGAAGTTCTTAACTTTTGGTTCTGGATACCTCTTCTCAGACCTCAGTTTCTCCAGGTTTATTTCTTGAGTTTAAAGCTCTGGAATTCAATAGACAAATAAATAATAGATTGAAAATGTTTGAGGGGACCAGATCTTGCTCAGTTCCTGTCACATAATGTTTATTGAATCAATGGAAGAACATTACTGAGATTCTCGGGCAGAACAGAAGAACACTGGTTTCCTCTCTAGATTAGAGCCCAACACAATGTCTTAAAGTTGATTTGATGGAGCACTAGGTGGAAGGACAGAATTGGACTGGGCAGCTGGAATAGAATGAGGGAAGAACCTTATTCCAGGTGTGAGGGAGGAAGATTGGGTAGGAATTAGGAGGACCACACTGGGGAACTTTGAAAAGATGATCCATTTCTATGGCAGACAGGAATTAAGACCTCAGCAGAATAGCCCGCTGGTTCCCCCGCTTTCTTTGGTCCAAGACATGGCCATCTCATCATTTTATAAAGTTTCTTTATCTATTAAATGTGGATCACATTGCTCACCCTCAACTGGTTGTGAGGATTATATAATAATCAATCAATATTGGCCTTCATGTGCTCCTTCTTCCTCATGATTCTTTTTCTTTCCCTTCTGATCTCCCAGAGCAGTGATCGCCTTTTACCACATAGTCTGGCATATCCTGTTCCTCAAAATGTCTCTGTGATGTCATTGCAAACACTTGAGAGCAGAGATGGTGTTACCTCCTTCCTCAGAGGAGGTGGCCCAGCCTTCATTTTCTCACCAAACCTGTATCTACTGGTTGGTCTATGAGAGATTCAATGATAAATAAGATTCGGTCCCTTTCCTCAGGGAGCATGTAGACTAGACAAGACACTAGGTGACATCTGGATGTCCCCAAGCACCTCAAACATCACAGGTTAAATAGGATAGAGAACTTCTCTTCTCCCTAAAATGTACTCCCATCCTGATGTTTATTATTTTAGTAAATGACAATCATCCAGGTCAGAAACCTGGATGTCGCTTTATTTTCTTTTTCTTGATCATCTTTGAGTCTTTGTACAAGTTGTTTCCTCTTTCTAGAGCAACTCTTCCTCCTCCCTTGACTCCCCCCGCCACCCAGTCTTTTAGCCAAATTTACTCTTGGTTCAATTCTCAGTATAGATGAGATTTTAGACATGTCTTCCAAGAGTTCGTTCCTGACTCCCAAGTCTAGGGTAGATGCTTCTCCTAGCTCTATCTGCACCATTCTGTGTTAGGTACGGAGAGTTAATCACATAGCTTCTAGACTAGAACTAGGCTGCCCCAGTTTCAAGTCCCCGTTCTTCTCCTTTGTTGACTGTGACCTTGGCCCTATGCCTCAGATTCCTTGTCTGTAAGTTGAGGATAATAACATTGTGCCTATTCCATAAGGTTATACGGGTGAACTCCCTGACACACAGTTCTAAATGAGTTCATTAGTTATTATTACTCTGACTTATCACCCTCACCTATGAGTGAGACCCAAGGGAGAAGGAACTTTGTCCACCAAAGTATTCCTTAGCTGCTTTAAATAAAGAATGAATGAAGCCTGCTGACTGGATCTAGTCAGAGCTGGGTTGGGGTGAAAGAATTGTATTTATGGCCATAAAGAATTATAGTTATCTGTTAAATATCAGAGAACAAGACTCAGGTACAACTTCTAAGACAGAATTTCCACCTTCAGGTTTCCTCCCCTCGGGGTCCCAGACGGCGCTTGATCCAATTAGTAGGCAAGACTGCCATCTGGCGGTAAAACCTGAAATTTCCGCTTCTTGGCGGTGGGACTAAAACCATTTTTTTTTGTTTTGCACACTTCGCATATTTTCACTTTAGATTTCTAGTCCAAGAAGTTCTATATCACAATGCATTAAGCTTTGTTCCTCTCCCCAACCTCTCCTAGATCTTGCTTCTTTCCTTCGGTTCCCTCAGGCTTGGCACTGTTGAGTTCCCCCGAGTTGTAGAAACTAACCCGTGGGAGGTCTCTTTCAGGAGCTTCAGACTTCCAGCTGCCCTAGACCCAGTCCCGAGGAGGCGGCCCTGCCGGCTTTACGAAAAAGTTGTTGGGAGAGATCTGGACTTTTAAGTCTTTCCTCGGCCCAATACAGGCTAACCGGGATTGGGGGCCCCGCCCACTGTCCTGGTCTCCCTGGCAACTGTTTTCCTGCCAGAGGTGCCCCTCTCCCTGTGTTACCCAAGCTACTTTCAGGCCCGCCTCCTTCAAGGTCCTGACTGGTTCATAGCAAATGTGGGTCGGCTAAGGAAGGCACTGAGGTTTGAGCTGCCGGGAGAGAAGCAGGAGTGTTTCAGCGGGAGGAAATGAGGACTCAGGAACGCCTGGAGGACCTGTGTGCAGCCTCTGGTCTGTTAGAGCCTCAGAAAGAAGAACTGCAGGTCCTGGGAGACAGTCACCAGGGTTCAGGCTGGAGACACCTGGGCCACTCTCAGAGCTGACCCCAGAACGGGGACCCCTGCGAGGAGGAGAGACTCCTGCTCTCCTGCACCCCTACCACACAGGCCACCCCCCAACCCCAAACTGCCTTGTTCATTAGTACTGGGCCAGTGGGGAAGAACTCAAGACCCTTACTTCTATCTCTTCTTGGTTTTTCCTCCTGAAGTCCCTATTTTTAGAGTTAGTGGCAGGGCAGGTCTTTCCAAGGAGGGGATGGGCGGGGTCACTGAGAAGCAGATGAGGGGAAGGGGTGGTTCCTACAAGGCTTGCTTCCCCTCTACCAGCTAGAGCCTCTGGGAATGTTGTGTGGGGAAGCTATTCTGGGCTGGGGGTGGTCTGTTGGTGGAACGGGCCCTCCCAGGTCTCTACCCACAAACCCTGACACCCCTCATCCCCGCTCCCAGGACCTCACTGTGTAATTACCATCCTCTCCCACACCGGGAGTTCTGCCCCCTGTAATTATCCTGTCTTGATCCACCCGGTTAACCTCTTTTACTCCAAAGTTCTCTAAGAGAAGTTGGAGGTTCAGAGGAGGGAGCCAAAAAGTTTGTGTTTGGGGGAAGAGGGTTGTATAAGTGGGATACAGTTGGGAACTCTGAGAATCCTTTGTTGTCACTTTATTTGCCTCTGGCCTACTGGAAGACGCACCGCCCTGCCCTCATCACTTTCCCCTTATCCTCTTAGGGCAGGCCCAGCCCT